GAACTACCTAGTTCGAGCCCCGTGTAGCCGCGCTGCTGTAGCTGCGAACCAGCGGGGTTTTAAAAATGGTGGCTCCCCGCTTATGCAAATGAAGCCCGGGAAATTCAAATCCCGGGCTTCATTTGCAAGTGCGATATGCCTACATTACCCTCCTAGTTCGAACTAGCGGGGTAGTGTAGACATACCCATACATCCTGTGTATGAACTTTCAAGAAAGGTTTACTACCACAAGTAAAAGCTCCTGGCGCTAAGACTGCCACCACACCAGGATGTAGCTTCAAGGTTCTATAATGGCCAATTTGTGGGTCCTGCTCCACTTTTTATTCTTTCACAGTGGCTTCTGATATAATTCCTCCTCAGCTTCTGGACACCACTGTAAATATGGAGATGTGCCACCCATACCATATGGGTTTGCAACAATCTATGCCCCACTTACAAAGTCTTCTGCTTCTGAAATGCAACCATCTCTCAAAGGTCTTTAGCAATACACAGCTCAGCTGCACAAAGGAAGAGGAGAAAAAATATTATGTCCAGTGGAGACTGGAGGGAAACTTTTAGGCCAGATGCATAGCAATTAGTTTAATTGGAATATTGCCAAGATGTCAGGGTTAGCACAGTTAATTTCTGGAGAAGTGCCTTGGTATCTTTAAACCTCTTTGTGGTCAACCCCTTGATTTATTGTCCCATCTACATAAAAATATAGTGATAAGTCTACGACTGTGAGTGACATTAACCAGGAAGAGCCCAATCTCACATTGTTTCTTTTCATTGAAAGCAATTCTCAGGCACAGAATTAATGGGAGTTTTTGCCTGAGTTATACATGCAGGATTTTCATTCATTGAGCTAGCTCCCATCCAGAAATGTAATTATTAACCACAACCAAAAATTGAACTCACACAGGAATTTGAATTAGCAGCCTTAAACTAGCTTAAAGAAGACAGCAAACAGAACAGCCTTGTGGGAGAACACACTCTTTTTTCTTTATGTTTTTAAAATAAATTAAGAGTTCATAATAGTAAGATGGTGTACTGCAATGTTGTTCTCCAAATACAGGGTAAGACTATTTGGCTGAAGGTCATATGGCGTTGATCAACTGCATATGTAACTTTAGCAATCAAAAAACTGAATCAGAGATATCCCAAATCATCCAACAAGCTTGAGTGGTCATGTGGTGAAATCCAAAGTTATACTGATACACATGATATAAATGCTTCTTCGCTCATTTAACAATATGACCATTTTTTGTTGCTAGTACTGTAATCTTGTTTCACTTTAAAATAGACTTCAAAATTACTTTTCAATAAGGTGCAACATGTAGACTGCTTTCTACAATTAAAAAACAAAGCAAAATAATACTTATTATTGTGCAGTCATTCCAATACAGAATTAAATGTAATCTTTTACAGTTCTTGAATGGTCTGTATTCTGCTTCACCAAAACAAAAAATCAGCAGTTATTACAATGACTGTCAAATAAGGGACTAGTGCATGTTACCCTTGTTCTGTTCTTTAACAGGAGACCTCCTGGTGAAGAACACTTCAAATACATGTCAAAAGCTGAGCCTAACTGAGCACAGTCCATGCATATCAAATGTGTAATACTGAACTTGCATCATTCATTATCAAAGGTTTTATTCGCCCATTGGTTTGACATCATCCTCAGTTGAATAGCTTGAAAGCACGTATTGAACTGTAGTTGCATAAATTGAGCTGTACACTAAAGTAACTTCCTGATTTTTAAATTAACCAAGCTCTGTGAAACTTTTTAGATTCTGCAGAATCAATTAAATACTTTATAGCTGGAATCTGTAGTGCAAGTGTTTATCCGGTAAATTCTGAGATGCCTTTTGGGAATACTATATGGACATAAAACTCTAATGATAGCACAAAGGGCTTGTACTATGGGAATTATGTAAGGCATAATTTTTTGGTGTGATAATCACATAGGGTATCTGTAGTTATTGGCGACAGTCTTCAAAGGCAGCCCTTGCCACCGGCTTTGAAATTCTAATGCGACTAAAAATAGCCTCCTCTCTTCCAGAGATAGAGAGCTTAAATGATTATAGTATTTGGCCATCTGCATTCAGACTGTTACAGTCTATTAAAACACAAAATACCTACATTCTGCATCCCACAGAGCACCAGAATAGGAAGGTTTTAGGACCAGGTTAGCATAGTAATCCCAACATACCTGAAATTATTTTATTTTGAACCTCATATTCTAGCGACATAAGTAACACAATATAATAACAATTATTTTCTCACAGCCTTGTCCAAGTTTGGAGGGTTGCAGCATGAATCCTGTACATGGTACAAGCAACTTAAAGAGTGAATAACTCTTCTAGAAAATAAATATTTCAGCCATGCTATGTTAATGTGCGAGATCTCTTAGTAAGTGCAAACAATTGCCAGTGGAGGAATAAGGAATAAACGGAAGTAGGGCAGAAATCACTGGAGAGCTTCATTCTATTTACATGGAGGGAGACAGGTGCCTAACTCTCATTGACTTTCAATGGGAGTTGGGCACCTACCTGCCCTTTGTGCCTTTGAAAATCTCCCCCACTTTTTACATTTTTCCATGGTAATAGCAAACTACATCATACTAAACACTACAGTTCCTGCATACCAATTTTGCATAGAGAAACATGAATTCTCATAATTCAGTCTCTGCATTTAAAAAATAATGGAAGAGCTGATTGACAAAACGGCTAAACTGAGTAAAACTGAATGGCTTAAAGCAGGGAACAAAGGGCAGGATGTCCAAAGTGAATGGAAGTGCATTACAGCATTAGTTCCACTCCAGCTTCAATTAACTTTTACAAAAATAAATGAAGATGACAAACTTCTCTATAAACAGGATGATTTTTCTCAAGAAAATATTTTAGTATAATTCAGTAGTAAATAAATAACCATGACATCAGTGACAAATAAATCAATATGAATCATACATGCTTGGTTTTCTAGTTTGGAACACAAAGCTTTACAGCTGTAACTGACTTTTATAAATATGTGCTAGTCTTCACACCAGTATGAATGTTGGTGTGTTCTCCAGGACTCCTGGTGCCTTCTCTTCATATCATATCATATCACTTTAAACCTATATCATTTCAGACCAAATCACACATTCCAGCAGAGTTGTCCGGAAACTCACTGAAGAAATATAGCTTGTTTGCAGCTATAGAGAACTTCTAACCTGCCTACCTGATTAAATAAGTCTCTTCCTGAATCCAATCCTCTGACTGTTACAGTTTAGTTTTAGGCCACTTCTCATACACACTGTATTTTTCCCTTTAAATAAAACAAAATACTGTATGCAGCCTTTGTATTAATTTAGGAGCGAGTCCTTCAAGACTATTTCTTCCCATCTTCTGTCACCAGTCTAGTTAAACATGATAGATTCAGGGTCCTGATTTGCCATTTGAGCCATATGTCTTAACACATCCTTTTTAGTTATGATGCCCAGCAGCCTTCTAAAAGAGAAGAAGAAAGGAAAGGTGAATCATATAATTCCTACCTAATGATGACAACCAAGACAGTACAAATTATGTCTATTATAAATAATAAAGTATGTTAGCTCTCATCTCCTTTTGTGGGGAATCTATTCTGGTCTGAGGTCAACCAAGAACTGCAATTAATGCAACATCATTTTGTTTGAGAGAATAATTAAATTCTATCAGGATAAAATTCACTCCCAACCAGGAGGCCACCAGCACAAGACCTAGGCAACATATAACCAAGTGCGACCCTTGACTTGTGCTGGCCGCCTGCACAAGAGTGAATATCAGCTTGGCTGTTTTTTTACAAATGTCAATGCTTCTACTGTCAGGGCATAGCACCTTACTCCCATTGAGTTTAATGGGACTAACCAAGAAATTAGCATCCAATATGAATAAGAGTTTTGGAATCTGTCCCTTAGGGTGTGTCTAAACTACATGGCTCCGTCGATGGAGCCATGTAGATTTGTTTGTTCGGCAAAGGGAAATGAAGCCACAATTTAAATAATTGCAGCTTAATTTAAATTTAAATGGCAGCCCCACTCTGCCGATCTGCTGTTTGTCGGCAGATTGGGGCAGTCTGGACACTCCCCTGTTGACATGAAAGCCCTTTATTGACCTCCCCGGTAAACCTCATCTTACGAGGCATAACGGGGAGGTCGATAAAGGGCTTTCAGGTCGGCGCGGGAGCATCCAGACTAGCGCGCTAAGCCGAAAAAAAGCTGATCAGCTGTTTGTCGGCTCAGCGCAGCAGCCATTTAAATTTAAATGAAGCTGCGATTATTTAAATCGCGGCTTCATTTCCCTCTGCTGATCAGCCTAATCTACATGGCTCCATCGACGGAGCCATGTAGTTTAAACACACCCATAGTAAGCTATTAATTAGCAATGGAAGTGCTGACTGTGTGACACTTTTAATGTCTAATATCTCACATCTCACTGGAGTCAGAATATCCTCGTGTTATGAAGCATTTCTTTCCAACTCTTGAAAATAGTTAAATATTGAACTTTGGAACCCCATCATTCTTACTGTCGTTTTGCCTTTCAATTCAGTTGTGAAATATTTGTGGTTGATGCTTCAAAACCTATTAGAGGTAGAAACCAAAACCAAAAGTTTCCAAGCCTGAGTCTTAATATTCGGCACCTAAATTCCAAATATTCCAAATCAGAGGTTTTATTTTCACAGTTGCTGAGCACCACCACTGAAATTGACTGTGGATGTTCAGCACCTGTGGAAAGCAAGCAAGTTTTATTCAGGTGTCAAAACTTTATTCTGATCAATAGTGCCCAGGCTGGATTGTGTCTCCAAAATTTTTAAAATAATGTTGAGCTGTTGGGAAAAGTTTCCCAGTACAAACAAAGCTACTGTTTCACACTTTTGATTCAATTTATGTTCTGGATCATTTTTTGTCATCTGTCTTTTATGCAGTTTTAACTCACATGCACTTTTCCTTTGAGTCAGACAAAACGGAATAGATTTATTTTCCTCAGCTGCCATCCACATCACATTTTTTATGAGCACTTCAATCTGCCTGGAAGCCAAGCAAACCCTTTGCAAACAGTGATATTTTGATAACTCTGCATTTGTAATGGTTTGAAAATAAAATATATTGGGACAACAGCCTGATAGCATCTGTATTTTATTGTCCCTTGTCTTAGATATGGCACCTAAATTACAATACAGGGCATAGAAGTGAACATAGACTGTGAGCTCAATGACAACCAAGCTAATTCTAACTCTAGCTAGCTGTTTTCTGGTACCTTTGGCAGACACATGACCTGTCTACCTTAGTTTGCCCATTTCTAAAATAGAGAAAATAATATTATTTACCCAGCTGACGTCATAAGCTGTTGAAGGTTAGTTACTCTTTATATATTCCTTTGAAAAGCAAAAGTGCTATTTTTATTACAAAAGCGACGAGGAGTCCTGTGGCACCTTATAGACTAACTGAAGTGTAGGAGCATAAGCTTTCGTGGGCAAAGACCCACTTCGTCAGATGCATGTAGTGGAAATTTCCAGAGGCAGGAATAAATATGCAGGCCAGGATCAGGCTGGAGATGACCAGGTGGATCCAATCAAGGAGGATGAGGCCCACGAAAGCTTATGCTCTCCTACACTTCAGTTAGTCTATAAGGTGCCACAGGACTCCTCGTCGCTTTTGCAGATTCAGACTAACACGGCTACCCCTCTGATTTTTATTATAGTTACAGCAAAGCTATGGTGGCACTCTCATCCCCTTTCAGTACTTAATCTTGTTAGTTCATCTCTATATACCTACCCACTGCGTGTGACAAGACATTGTCGGAGTCCAAGTTTCCGAAAAATGTCTACCACCGTTTCCATTGGCGTGTGGTCAGTTACCGTGAAAGGGCTCAAATTGAGAATTCGACGGAGCTTTAGTGGGTGAGGGCTGTTGGCTGGGAGCTCTGGTGGATCTTCAGTGAAATACATAATGGAATTGCTCACAACCCCATCCTGACGCTGTCTTGCATTCTCTGGAATGCAAAGAGACTGGGTAAATGGCAGATCAAACTCATGTACACCAGTACTTGGAAATGAACAGTGAGATGGAAATCTTTTGATACGCCAAAGTATCAGAATGTGGGATTACCAAGCAAATCACTCACATTTCACAGGTCGCCACAGTAATTCAAAGACTCTTACCCCAAAGAAAATATAAAGACAGTTTTGGGTATAGTGACTCTTATTTTGCTTTAGCAACTTGCTATTTCTTAGGCTGGGATGTTCACTGTCATCATTCCCCTTAAATTCAAATGTTTTGCACGCTTTTAGTAGGTAAAACAATGCAAACTCTGTATGATTCACCTAGGTTGTAGCGGTATGGAAGACCTCCAACATGGTGGAACTCTGGAGCGTCTGCTGTACATGTGCACCTGATTTGGACCTTGTGCCTTCTATACCACCATGGAGGGGCAGTCCACGGGCATAGCTGCTCAATCTGTAAACAGATCCATTTGGCAAAACTCCCACTCGGGGTGGGGTGAGATGTAGTCATCATTCCAGGATTGCTGAGCCACCACATGCCCTGCCCACAGGTTGGAGCACAGAGTCTGTCCCTAGAAACTCTGTATATTTCCTCATATAAAGCTTGCTTACCCATGTTGGAAAAAGGTGTGGTTCTTTCTTTATGGAAAAAGACCGGCGTCATGTTGGGAAAAGGTGTGGTTCTTTCTTTATGGAAAAAGACCAATAGTGTGTGGGGGAAGTACTGAATTAAATTATTTTGAGCACCTCAGTTCTCAACTGTGCATATTTTCACATGCACCTCAGTTTTAGTGGGTAAGACAATGCAATCTCTGTATGATTCACCCAGGGTGTGACCCTCTCACTGGCACTTTGATCAAGTCTGGCTTTTATGACTATTATTACAAACCTGTCACTTAAAGTACACCTCTGACAGTTTGCTTTATAATTATTATCAAAGTGGAAATGGCTGGTTTTCATTACACTTTCCTCTCCACTGGCTGTTCATTTGTACTCTTCAGTGGATGGTGCTAACAGATCAGACAAAATCTCAAGAATGATAATAGACACCTCCCTTTTCCCTAATATAAGCACACGGGTTTTTTAAAAGAAATCATAGCTAATTCTAACCTTTTTTCCTTTTTGATTGATTCAGATTGCTTCTGTTCTTGAGAGGCACACAGGAAATTGGAGACACTAAGTGCAAATATATATGTACTTGGAGCTCATTTCCATCAATCAAAGTGCAGAAACATGCTCTGTGATGTGTAATGTGCAGACAGTAATGATTTCCAAC